AAACATCTGGAGGATTCTAGATTGCCTATACCTGATTTAAGCAGTATGTCTGTTTAACTACACAGTCTGTTTTCTTGTATAAGTGCCTTTATGAAAATCTTGGTGATTTATGCCTAATTATTAGAAGAATACATGAGACAATGCAGAAGTGATTCCATGGCTATGAGCTTTAAAAGGACTGGGTTCAAATTGTGTACGCTTAAGCTGTTGTTTGGCAAAAGAAAAGCAGATACCTTTTATACATCTATTTCTGTTTATAATAAACAAGGTTTTGTAAAGTTCTTTTGTAACTCGTTTAACAGTTATTTATTACAATTACATACAGCCTAGCAGAACTTGAAGGGGGGTACCTAAACTTCCTAAGCCATCTCCTTTCCAGGCACTGACTTGATCTAAAAGCCTTCCCAGCTTCTTCATGGTTGCTGAGACATGTGCTATAACATTACAGATAAAAGAGGCCTTAACTTCTCAAACTGATGTTGCTGTCCTTTGCGTGTTTGATACAGTGATGGTTGATAACCCAATGTAAGATTTAAATTATTATTGCACAGTGCTTTTTTTGTCATAGAACACACCAGAACAGAGTTCTGGCACCTTTTTTTGGCAGATTTTCCAAGTTTTAAAAGTAACTTTTGAAAAGTTGATGTTTGGTCCATGTGGATTTGAATCGCCCTGTCGAGCGTAGCAGGTTGGTGGCAAAATCATTAAAACGGTGCATGCGGGCTGCTTGTGCATCGAGTCTGATGCATGCGTACTTTGTCCGCGCTGGTCGTGATGGCGCTGCTTGGCTTGTGATTGGTCGGGTGGTCGTGCAGTGAGAGCTTACTGCAGGCGGCGACCGTTATGTTTCATTACACAACTGACATGTGTGGGTGTGTGTTCAGTGATTGACTACATGCGAAAGGTAAATAATTTCATGAGTTCCAGCACCTTTTTTCTTACAAAAAAAGCACTGTTATTACATACATTTCCACCCTACTTTCCTAACTCTTGCAAGGAAATCAAGGTTCTTCTCTCTATTTTATTCTCTCAATAACAAACCTGTGGGGTAGATTAGGCTGGGGGTATGTGACTGGCCCAAAGTTATCCGATGTTGTTCATGGCTGAGGGAGACTAGAAGCCAGATTTCCAGAGTCCCAGGGCAAAACTAACTGCTAGGCCACAGTGGCTCACAGACACTGCAAACTTAAAGTTATGCAGACGGAAGCAAGTGCTTCCAGCAGCAGATTCAAATGACATCGAGACGCTTGAAGGACAAAGGTGCAGGTGATGCGCAACCTGTCCAGCACGACCTAGTTGAGCTTGGTATCCAGCACCAAAAAAGCTGAGCCAGGCCTAGTTCTGTATTACTGGATCAACTGCACAAGGACTAATCGACAGCAATAGTCCTCGATCTTTTACATGCTCACCTCTGGAGATTTCAGAATTGGTGCCTAGCTTGCCTTGCCCCGTACCTTCCTGGCTCCTAGTGCTCTATAGACAACAGCCATGCATTTCATGACCTGCCTACAAGTGTTACTCGTAGCTCCTCAGTTCCCTTATTTATTTTTATCTATTAATATTTATATACCACTCCATTCCCATAAGCTCTGGGCAGTTTACAAGAAATTAAAACCCAACAGTGAGTAATATTAACTAAGACAACATCTTAAACAAAACTGACATGAGAACTAATCCAGGAAGGCCTGTTGGAAGAGATGTGTGTTTAACTCTCCGAAAAGTGGGAATTTGGGAAATCAGGCACATCTGTCCTCGCTGTAGGGGCAGCCACTGAAAATTCCTCTGGATAGCTAACATTGCTGCTACAGAAGCAGACTTGAGATTTTTCCTGGAGGACCTTAGCTCAGGGGTCTCAAACTCAACTGACCTGGGGGCCGCTCGAAGTAGAGTCTGGGTGAGGCTGGGCCGCATCAAGTATGCCACCGCCGCGGTGGTGGTGGGCCGCTCATCCCGCGTTGCTCCTGGAGGCTGGCCCGGGCACTGCCGGCACTTTGAAGGCCACAGGGCCCCTCCCCCGTGCCCTGCCCAGCCCGGCGCGCATCTTAGAGGGAACATTGCGCCCAGGGTGCAGGTGCGTGTGAGAAAAATGCGCGAGCCGCACTATCACTAAACTTTGGTATCAAGTGGGGCCCACAAAATATCATCTCACAGGCCGCAATTGGCTCACGGGTCGTGAGTTTGAGACCCCTGCCTTAGCTGGTGAGGCAGAATGTATGGGCAAAGAATCTGCTGGTAATGTGCAGGGGCAGCATGCCTGCATTCACCAGTTGTCGAGGATCTTGGCCAGGAAGAGATCTTGCAGCCATCCTGCCTGAGGGCCCCTGTGGCAGCTGGTTTGCCACCATGTGTACAGAGTACTGGGCTACATGGACTTTTGGTGTGATGCAACATGGTTTTCTTAACCTCTTATGCCTTATTTCTTCCTCTCTAGCTCTCTGCAAGACCTGGTATTCTCCCCCCCCCCCCCCCCCACCCCCCGCATGCCTAAGTCTCCAAAGA